GAAAGAAAGAAAAAAAAAGTTGGCTGGGTGTGGTGGTGCATGCCTGTAGTCCCAGCTACTTGGGAGGCTGAGGTGGGAGGATCGCCTGGCCTGGAGGTGGAGGTTGCAGTGAGCCAAGCTTATGCCACTATAGTCCAGCCTGGGGAACAGAGTGACCCTGTCTAAAATAAAATCATAACAAAAATAAATAAATTTAAAAATTTGGCTGGGTGCAGTGGTTCATGCCCCTAATCCCAGCACTTACTTTTTTTTTTTGAGACGGAATCTTGCTCTGTTCCCCCAAGCTGGAGTGCAGTGGCGCGATCTCGGCTCACTGCAAGCTCCGCCTCCCGGGTTGATGCCATTCTCCTGCCTCAGCCTCCTGAGTAGCTGGGACTACAGGCACCCCACCGCGCCCGGCTTATTTTTTGTATTTTTAGTAGAGACGGGGTTTCACCGTGGTCTCGATCTCCTGACCTTGTGATCCGCCCGCCTTGGCCTCCCAAAGTGCTGGGATTACAGGCGTGAGCCACCGCGCCCAGCCTATAATCCCAGCACTTTGGGAGGCCGAGGCGAGCTGATCTCCTGAGGTCGGGAGTTCGAGACCAGCCTGACCAATGTGGAGAAACCCCGTCTCTACTAAAAATACAAAATTAGCCAGGCATGGTGGCACATGCCTATAATCCTAGCTACTAAGGAGGCTGAGGCAGGAAAATTGCTTGAACCCAGCAGGCGGATGTTGTGATGAGCAGAGATCGTGCCATTGCACTCCAGCCTGGGCAACAACAGCGAAACTCCATCTCAAAAAAAAAAATTATTAAAAAAATTTTGAACTTTTTACATTAGAAAAGAACATACATGAAATTAAAAGGCAAAGGATAGACTATGAAAACATTTGCAACACGTGACATGACAGACAAAGAGGTTAGGATATAACACCTTAGTGACTTGAGTCAGTAGGCTTTGGAGCTGGCAGACTACCATCCTAATCTCCATCACTTAACCACTTATCCTGGGCAAGTAATTTAATTCCTCGTTGCTCTAGGTTTCTCATCTGGAAAGGGGCATAATAATAGTACTTACTTCACGGAGTTGTTGAAAAGATAAAACAAGACAGTGAATGTATGTTACACAGCACAGTGCTTTGCTAAGAGGATGATCAGCAACTACCAAGCTTTTATTATTTTAGTACCACGCAAAGGTTGCTAAAAATCATCAAGAAAAATATAATGAAAACAACAGAAAAATGTACAAAAATATACGAAGGTAGCTCATAAAGAAGAAAAATAATGGCTCCATATACTAAACAAAGCGATGCAAATAAAACATAACAATTTTACCATTTCCCAGCACACTGAATTGACATAAAACATTTTTAAGTGTTAATGTTCAAGGGTGGTGAGATTTTAGGAAATCGACATTAGAGGGAATGAAAATCGATTCATTCTTTTTACAGGGCAGTTTTGCAGTTTGATGATTTTAAGAAGTTATTCGGCCGGGCGCGGTGGCTCAAGCCTGTAATCCCAGCACTTTGGGAGGCCGAGGCGGGTGGATCACGAGGTCAGGAGATCGAGACCATCCTGGCTAACATGGTGAAACCCCGTCTCTACTAAAAATACAAAAAACTAGCCGGGCGTGGTGGCGGGCGCCTGTAGTCCCAGCTACTCGGAGGCTGAGGCAGGAGAATGGCGGGAACCCGGGAGGCGGAGCTTGCAGTGAGCCGAGATTGCGTCACTGCACTCCAGCCTGGGTGACACAGCGAGACTCCGTCTCAAAAAAAAAAAAAAAAAAAAAAAAAAAGAAGTTATTCTAGGCTGGGCGTGGTGGCTCACGCCGGTAATCCCAGCACTTTGGGAGGCCGAGGCAGGTGGATCACAAGGTCAGGAGATCAAGACCATCCTGGCTAACACGGTGAAACCCCATCTCTACTAAAAATACAAAAAAATTAGCTGGGCGTGGTGGCGGGCACCTGTAGTCCCAGCTACTCGGGAGGCTGAGTCAGGAGAATGGTGTGAACCCAAGAGGCAGAGCTTGCAGTGAGCCAAGATCATGCCACTGCACTCCAGCCTGGGAGACAGAGGGAGACTCCGTCTCAAAAAAAAAAGAAGTTATTCTAAGGAAATAAATAGATATTGCAATGGTATATGCATGAGAATGTTTATTGCAACATCTGTAGTTTCTGGTGTTGAAAATTTGTGAACAATCTTAATGTCCATCTGTAGAGGTTTTAAAATAAATATAAATTATGAAAGTTCCTTATAATGTAGTACAATTGCCACCTATAAAAATAACGGTCAGCCAGGCACATTGGCTCACGCCTGTAATCCCAGCACTTTGGGAGGCTGAGGCAGGCACATCACATGAGGTCAGGAGTTCGAGACCAGCCTGGCCAACATGGTGAAACCCCATCTCTACTAAAAATACAAAATTTAGCCGGGCATGGTGGCAGGCGCCTGTAATCCCAGCTATTAGGGAGGCTGGGGCAGGAGAATCATTTGAACCCGGGAGGTGGAGGTTGCAGTGAGCCGAGATCGCACCACTGCACTCCAACCTGGGTGACGGTGAGACTCTGTATTAATAATAATAATAATAATAATAATGGTTAAAATGAGTGCCCCCTTGTCCCAGTCGTCATCATTTCCTGCTTTGATTAATCCCTGCCACCTGTCTCCTTCTCAACCCATTCTCTACACGGCCACCAAGGCAAATATAGTTATGTCACTTTCTTGCTTAACGCCCTCAGGGCTGCTCACTATAAAATCCTAAAACTGGCTTTATAAGGCTGGAGTCTCATTTCTCTCCTCCCTTTACACTCCAGCAACACAGTACTCAACAGGCTTCTCAGTTGACCTTTGTGTTCATTTACATGCCTTGGGAGTTTCACATTTCATTGAGCTGCATTGGTTAGAACGATCCTGTTTTGTCCCCTAACAATTTTCACTTCTTTGTAGCTTTTACAAAAATGTTAAGTGTTGTTTATGGAACTCTTTGTTTATATATGTCTCTCCCATTAGGGTTTAAATCAGGGTAAAAATTATCACTGCTTTAGCCACTATTTTATCCATTCACCTAGTGTAGTGCCTGACCTAGGTGCTTGATGCATATTAGTTTATTGAATGAAGGAATGAATGGTTAAATGAAATGCAGGCTACAAAATATACAGTGTGAGTAAAAGAGGGACTAAAGACTTCATGTGACCATACCAGGCACAGAAACTGGCTACTTCCTGTAGGTGCATGTGGCCTGGGCCCTTTCCTGAAGGGAGAGAAGGAAGAGGTGCACCTCTGACCTGGGAAAAGCAGAGCTGGGTGGGAGTGGTGGCCTTGGGGGTTTCCATGCCTTCTGCTCCCTGGGAGGGAAGGGGGTTCACCACCCAAGGTGCAGGGGGCCAGGGGAGGAGGTGGCAGCCGAGAGACTGAGCTATTAAGTTCTGTGTTTTGGGACAGGCCTCAGGGTGTACCTGGTGTAGGCAGAGATCAACCTCTTGCACAGTAAGTTTCCCAACTAGGGCAGCGTCAGGGCGCGCCCTAGAGGACAGGAAGGGGAAGAGTTGCCAGGGCGAGACTCCGCACAAGCCACTTCTCTGGGCAATCAGCCACAAGGTCTCACATAGTACCTGGACTCTGATACGACTGGGACCCTGGGGCTGTGCTTGAGGGTGTGACTGGCCACTGTGGGAGTGTAGGGGGGCTGTTCATACACAGGGTTCTCCCAGATATTCCTTTTCTTTTTCTTTTTTGAGATGGAGTCTCACTCTGTCGCCCAGGCTGGAGTGCGGTGGCACGATCTTGGCTCACTGCAAGCTCTGCATCCCGGGTTTACGCCATTCTCCTGCCTCAGCCTCCCAAGTAGCTGGGACTACAGGCATGTGCCACCATGCCCGGCTGATTTTTTTTGTATTTTTAGTAGAGACGGGGTTTCACCATGTTAGCCAGGATGGTCTCGATCTCCTGACCTCGTGATCTGCCCACCTCGGCCTCCCAAAGTGCTGGGATTACAGGCATGAGCCACAGCGCCCGACCTTTTTTTTGTGTTTTTGATACAGGGTCTCACTCTGTTGCCCAGGCTGGAGTGCAGTGGCATGATTGGCTCACTGCAACCTCCACCTCCTGGACTCAAGCGATCCTCCCACCTCAGTCTCCCAAGTAACTGGCACCACAGACACGCACCAAGCCCTGCTCATTTTTGTATTTTTAATAGAGACAGGGTTTCACCATGTTGGCCAGGCTGGTCTCCAACTCCTGGGCTCAAGTGATCTGCCCACCTCAGCCTCCCAAAGTGCTGGAATTCCAGGTGTGAGTCACCGTGTCTGGCCCCAGGTACTTGTTCCTGAAGACTACTCAGGCCTATAATCCTAGCACTCTGGGAGGCTGAGATGGGAGAAACGCCTGAGGCCAGGAGTTCAAGAACCACCTGCTCAACATAGGGAGACCCCCCCCATCTCTGCAAAAAATTACCTGGAAGCGGTGGCATACCTGTGGTCTCTACTATTCAGGAGGCTGAGGTGGGAGGATCACTGGAGCCCAGGAGGCCCAGGCTGGAGTGAGCCGTGATTCCACCACTGCACACGAGCCTAGGCAACAGAGACCCAAACAAACAAACAAACAAAAAACAAAAAGACTGCACGGGGTTGGGGGCAGGGTAATAAAGACACTGCTGCCTTCACTTTTGTCAACAACCCTGACCTGGCTGGTCTGTCAGCCCTCCCGAGTCTCTGTCTTCTATGATGTCAAATTCTTCTGCTTGCTTGGTTCCAGAAGTGGACTCCCTTCCTCCAAATCACCATATCTGTGCCAGAAAATGCCAGGCCAGCCTGTTTGCTTGTTTTCTCTTTTCTGGGCAGTGGGGCCCTTACGTCCCAGGTCCCTGCTCAGCCCCAGATGTGTAACTGTGCAACGTTTGTCACTGAGAAGCCTGTACTTGCACTTCACATTCATCTTCTTGGCCCCAAGCAGGGCACTAAAGTCGATTTCTCTTTGTGATCCCTGTGCCTAAGCCCAGGGCCCAATAAACACATTCTGAAGGAATGAACTCATCCATTTATTCAACTTTCCGGTATGCAAGAACTTCTTTTCATGGAGTGTCACGGAGGCCCTGAGGGAGGAATGGTAAATGGGTAGGGGTGTGCATAGCTCTAGGAACGGGTTTAAGGTCTAGGCTTTAGAGTTGGGGAAAGGGGAGCTATTACAGATTTCAAAAAGGTCATAACTGGCCTTAACCTGTGCAAAATCTTGGGGGTGAAAGGGCAGACAGGGAGTCAGGCCGGAGGCGATGCAGAAGTGAGGAACATGGGGAGGTCGTGGTAGTGAAGAGTTCACATTGAGTGGATGTGGGTTCTGAGTTAGGGAAGCTGGTGGCACTTGGTATGTTGAGACTGGGTTGGAAGAAGAACAGAGCTCACATCTCTGGTATGGAGGGAGAGGAGGAGAAGAGCAGTATGCGAGGGCAGGTGCTCAGTTACTGCTTCCTTCTTGGAGCAGGTGACCAAGGAGTGTGGCTATCACTCCCTGCCCATCCAAGGCTTCTTGCTTGGGGAGGGGCCTCCACCAACCTCCAACGTTTTATGTTTTGAGTCATGGCTGAAGAAAGCCAGAGAGAAAATAGGAGAAAAAAAGTGGAGCTGAAAATGGAGGCAAAGTCTATGAGTTGGGGACCTACATGGCCCCCTTCAAGTAGCTCAGGCCTGGCAGCTTGTGCTGGGCTTGTGGAAGATTCCCTCTGAAGAGGTGAAATACCTCAGGAAGCAAGCCCCAGCACGGGTAGGGCTTGTGGGTCTGCGGGGCTGGGCCACTAGTGTTCACCTGACCACGCCAGCTGCCCGCACGCCAACTGCACACAGGAGGGGGCCACACGGGGTTTTGCTGAGCACGTCAGCCAAACCAGGGCAGGGAAGGTGTCTTCGCCCTGGGCAAGGCCAAGAGGGACACGTGCAGTCCTGACGGTCCTGCAGCCTGCGGCACACCTCACTCCTCCCACGGGCTCATGTCGGTGTCGATGGCCACGCAGTTGTAGGCCGCATAGCGGAGCTTCTCCTCGCATACCTTAGCGCTGTGGGAATGGGCACTTCGTCAGATCCATCCATCACTACCGGGGTGATGGGGCTCCCCTGGGCCCCAACTTGAGCCTAGGAAAAAACCCACCTGGCATAGTGTGGCAGGAAGAGGGTGCTCGAGCAGGTGGAAGACTCGGGCAGCGCGTCTGTGGTCTCGTAGCTGGGGGCATTGAGGGACCATAGGTCAGGAAGATGTGTTGGGGCACATGTACGTGTGTGGGGAGGGAGGACAGCAAGCGGCCATGGCACCTTCAGGCCTCCCTCCAGCACTCACCCCAGCTTGTCTGGATAGATGTAGATCCGTGCTGGCAGGCGGCTGCGGCCTGTGACAAAGCGCAGGAAGCGGCTCCGGTCCTCTGGAGGGAGGAGGAAATCAGTGCCCGCGTGGATGGTGAAGGAGGGTCTACAACTTCTACCCTGCCTCTGCATCCCAGCAACAGAGTCCAAACCCAGGTGTCACCCTGCCCTCCTCCACTGACCGTTGGTGAAGTTGTTCAGTGCCTCCCAGAAATACTGCACCCGCGAGTCAGATGGCTCGAAGTCCTCAAACCGGGCTGGTGGAGACAAGGCCAGCACTCATTCTTGGGTCTCATCTTGCCCAGTCCTTGAGCCCCAACCCCTGTGCTGTGCTGTGCTGCCCTGCCCTGCCTTGCCTTGGGGAACTCACTGAGCTTGCGCAGAGCATCCACAGTGACCTCTGGATCCCCACACACTTTCTTCTCCAACTCTTGCCAGGTCAGCAAGTCCAGCACAGCCTGTGGCACCACCTTCAGCAGACCTGCCTGCATAGCTGCCACCTGGAGAGTGGGTAAAAGGCTTGGCTGGGGAAGAGGGCACACCTCCTGCCTTACACTGGGGGGCATCACTGTAGCCTCTGAGCAGCACAAAGGTGGCACTGAGGAATGCTGGGGGCCAGAGTTCTTGGAGTATTGGTGGCCTACAGGCTGCACTCTGGGTCCCAGGAGCTGGGGCTCAGAAGGGGCCAAAGCTCTCTGTTCTACTGGCCTCTGGGTACTACCTGCTCCTTGCTCTCCTCTAGCCGTGCCTTCTGGACCAGCTGGATGAAACGAGAACGGTCTCCATATCCCACGATGATGCCTGCACCCCCAGGGATCAGCTCCACCACCTGCTGGTCACTCAGTACAGTGGTGAATGTTAGTTCCTTCCCAAACTTGAACTCAAATGTCTCCTTGTCCATTCCTTCCATCACTTCCAGGAGCTTCACCTAGGGGTTGGAGAGAGGCAGGGAAGTAGCATTTTCACTGTGGAGACAGTCCCTGTCTTTCCACAAGATGCTCACAGGGAAGCAGAGACAGCCAGGCAAGGCAGTCACCATGCAGGTGTCAGTACAAGAGCTGTAAAAGCATCAAGACAACACCTAACCAGCCTTGGAGGCCAGAGGAGGCATCCTGTGGGAAATGGCGTCTCAGCTGAGACCCAAATAATGGCTGGGCTATAAGGGAAGTTAGGAGAGAGAACATCTTGGAGAAAGCTGGAAAGAGCAAAAGGCCTAAGGAAACTATTTGGCTGGAGCCTGAATGTGAACCAAGTGGCTGGAGATACAGAGTTCATGTAAGGCCTTTACAGCTTCTGCATTCTATCCTAAGCCCAGGGCCAAGCCACCAATGAGTTTAAATAAGGAAAGTGAAATGAATTACTCTGGCTGCATGGAGACCAAATCGGTAAGAACGGAGACAGGGACACCAGCTTTTTAGTAAGTGATTAGCTCAGGAGGAAAGGTGTCCTCAACCAGGCAGGGAGATAGTAGTGAGATAGGAAAAGCAGACAGATTACAGAGACAGACTTAAGAATGTGGGGGTGAGGGAGAAGAAAGGGTGAAGGATGGCCCTGTGGGCTTTGGGATGGGGAGGAGTGGGACATGGTGTCCTTTTGAGGCAGGAGCCCTAGAGGGGAGCAGTCTTGGGAGAAGATAAAGAACACACTGAGCCTGAGATGTGACCTTGGGGCAAACGTTGAGGGTGCAGATACATATATGGCCCCAGGCTTAGGAGAGGCTGGGGCTAGAGGTCAGGATTTTAGGGGTCACAAGTCTACAGACAGTAGTTGAAGCCATGGGAGTGGATGGATTGGAGAGGGATCTTGTGTGTGGTGAAAGAACACAGTACAGAACAGCCTTAGGGAGGACCAACCTTTAGGGGCTGGGCAGAGGAACCACTGGTTCCAGGCCCTACTCACCAGCACAGAGTCCACAGCTGGGAAGTCCTTGCTCCAGCTCACCTCCTCGCCAGAGAGCTGCTTCCACACAAAACCAGGCAGGGCCAGGACCTGTGTGACAAATACTCCCTACTGTCTTCTCACCCTGAGCTGCCCAGATTTGGTTGGCCTTTCCTCCCAGGGGCCAGGGCTGATCAGATGGGGGTGTGGATAAGGCTACTCACCAGGAACTCCTTACCCCGAAGGGCAGCCCCCATCAGCTGTCCAATCCATTCGTACTTGGCAAAGTCTCGGCAGGAGGGGTTGGGCACATACATGTCCCGGGCCTCACCAGTGCCATTGCCCTGCCCCAGAGACAGAGCTGTCAGTGTGGCATGAGACATACCCTACTTTCCTGGCCCGAAGACTTCCCTGAACATTTTCCACTGGGAACATTTTCCACTAAATGATCCCTTCAAATGTACAGTGGCTCCTCCTCTCCCTGTCTGCCCAGATGTTGCCCTGAGCAACTCAGTCCCTCCTCTGCCCCATTTCTTTTTTTTTTTTTTTTTTTTGAGACAGAGTCTCACTGTCTCACCCAGGCTGGAGTGCAGTGGTACGATCTCGGCTCACCGTAACCTCTACCTCCCAGGTTCAAGCGAGTCGCCTGCCTTAGCCTCCCAAGTAGCTGGAACTACAGGCACGTACCACCACACCCAGCTAATTTTTTTTGTATTTTTAGTAGAGATGGGGTTTCACTACATCGGCCAGGCTGATCTTGAACTCCTGACCTCATGATCTGCCCGCCTTGGCCTCCCAAAGTGCTACGATTACAGGTGTGAGCCACCACGCCCGGCCCCCTCCTCTGCCCCCTTTCTAGCTCAATCTGGCACCTGGGAGGTCTGCAGAGATGAAAACAGAGATTACCTGGTTGGCCGTGCGTACAAAGAAGGGCAGAGGCACGGGGGTATCCGCTGAGCTAGGGCACAGCTCTTCTGACATATCTGCCAGGCTGTCCCGGAAACCACCGCCTGAAATGACAGATGTCCTCAGCTGGGCACTCAAGAGCCCAGCTCCCATAACGGGGTAATGAATAGGTCCCCCATCATCATTAGCTTGTGAAAAGCCTCTACCACTTTAATAGGACAGCAAGAAGGATCCTTGGGATCCTCCCTCAGGGCCTCACCTTGGTCAATGATGCCTTCTGCAATGAATTTACACTCCCACCACTGGTCATAGCGCATGGGCCACCTGCAAAAAACGTGGGCAGATTTGTCATCGTGCGGGGCCAGGTGCAGCACAATTCATCAGCCCAGAGAGCACCTGGGAAAAGCAGTCATGGCGAGGGGTGCCTCAAGGAGTTGTGTGTGCACACAGGTGTCCCGAGTAAGTCCCTCACTCTCATGCCATACCTGTAGTCCAGGGGCTTTTCATATTTGTCAGAGGGCTTGAGGCCTTCATATACCTGGGGGCAAGGAGGAAAGGAGTCACAGGAAAGCAAGACCTGGCCCCACACTCGCCCCAAGAACTTGTTCAGGTCCCTCTTGGCCTAGTCCCCTTGGCCCTTCACTGATCCTATCTCAGCCTGACCCAGGTGGTGCAGACCTGGGTGAAGACTGCATTCTTGCAGGCAGGGTCTCGAGAGGGGCAGGCACGGTGTTCCATGGCAAGGCGGCGGTTGATGTATAGGCGTGGCATGAAGCTGGGCTTGCTGCTCTCCGAGTCACGCAGGCACTGAGCCACCAGGCCAGGCCGCTGGCGGGACAGCAGTAGGAACTGCTTCACTTGCTAGTGAGGAGAAGTGGTCAGAGCAGGAATGAGTGGGCAGTCAGCCTCTGTCCAGGCCCTGGAACTTTCCTCTCTGCCTGTATCCAATTCCACCATTTTAGTCCAAGTCTAGTCCATTCCTGTCCTTGTCTCCAGTCCCTTCCTTAGTTCAGCCACCAGGAAGAGCTTTCTAAAACAAAAAAATTCTAATACTGTCATTACCTTACTTACTTTTCCAATAGCTCCACTATCCTGGGACAAAGTCCTTGCTTCACAGCCTGGCCCACAGGGCCCTCTGCAACCAGGGCCTGCCTCCTGCCCACATCCTCCCACCCTCATCCCTCTGTCATACTCACACCTACCTGTACACTTTTCTCAAGTCATCTTGAGCTGCTGTTAACTCCTGGTATGTACCTTTCACGCAACCTGCCCTGCCTGTGCTGTCAATAGCCCTTGGGTATTCCACACACTCATCTGGGCAGCAGCCTCCCAAACACTAAATTTGGACCATCTGTTCTGGCTTTCTTCCTGTGTTCCCAGACCCAGCAAAGGTCTTGCCCTAGAGCAGGTTTCAGGAACTCTGCTAAGGCATGAACAACTACATGAGCAGGAAGGGGGAACACACTGCCGAGACCAGCACTGGGTGGGACGGCTCACCTTAATCTCACTGAAGGTGCCCAGTGTGTGGTCCCAGGCAGGTACCAGGTGGTGCAAGACACTATCGAGGATCTTGATGAATCTGGCATGGGTAGGTAAAGATTGACTGCAGCTAAAGAGTTTGGCATACATTTAAGACCCCCAACTCCCCAACATACAGGGACAGGAGAACGCAGGACCTGGGGGCTTCTCTGACCCTTGAACAGCTTATACTATGAGACCTTGGGAACCTCCTCCATGCAGACACACAAGGCTCAATGCTGGGGGAAGGGAAGGGCCCATAGGTGCAGGACCACAGCCACCTCTGCAGGAGGACAGCTCTGCGGTACAGTACTTCAGGGTCGGTGCCTTCCAGGCGTGGGTATCGCACCAGACTAGTCGGCTGGAACAGGTCTGCATTCAACCCTAGTTCCCGCTGTCTAGAGGACTTGATCTTGACCCCTCGGAGACGAACATCAATCCCATCATCTGGGGAAAGGGGTCAGAGTGAGGTCATTTACGGCACCTGCTGGCTCCTCGGCCCTCACACCTGGGAATGGCTCCTTGAACGCTCAGCCTTTTGTCACCCTTAACCCTAGAAACTCAGGACCTTCGGGATCACCTTCTATCACCTGACTCTGATTTATCTATTCCTGCTGATTCCTCCATCTTTCACTATAATGCTGGCATGCCTGAGGGTCCCAACTCAGTTCCTTTTCCAGGTGAGCCCAACCACCTGTATGGCTTTAAGGCAGGCCTATACCTGGCACGTCCCAGCTGCTCAGGCCCCAAAGCTCCAAATCCCGGAGTTAGTTCAGCATCACCTTCACCCCAACTCCAAGCCTATCCTCTTCTCTCCACACTCACTGTCTGTCTGCCCCATCTCCACATCAGGCTCTCTTTCCCTCCTTAGAGCCTTAAGCCTCACCTCGGCACTCCACGATGCGGATCTCGATGATCGGGAGGTGGACAGTCATGTCCTCCAGGACACAGACATCCCCAATCAGGGTCCTGAGGAGACGAGTGTGAGGCACTTCGGATACCTCCTGCCTCAGGCCTTCAGAGACTGCTGGAGTCTCACTCAAACTTAGGCTTCCAAGCTGGGCTAGGCTTGGAACACACCCTACTTCCCTCCCCAGGCCAGTGTGCTCACTCGTCAATGCTCACGTCACTCAGCTTCTTCAGGTTGTCCCCTTCGCCCCCATAGACCACCACCCGCTTTGGCATAAAGTTGTCATCTGTGGTATCTACTGTAAGTAGCAGCTTCCTGAAAGGTCAGAGTGTGAACATGAGTCTTTGTGAACCCACAGGGATGTGGCTCACCCATCCTGTCCTGCCCAGAGCCTACTTACTTGACAATGGTGCCCTTCTTCATGGTAAGCCGTACCCAGTGCTGGCACTGGGACCCATCGCTCTCCCAGTAGGTATCGGCATTGCTGTCTGTCAGGCAGGATACGTTGAACTCCTCCTGGGGAGGGGCAGAGAGGTGGAGTCAGTAGTTACTCTCCCTCCCTGAGCTGGGCTTGTGCTCTGGACCAGGAGGACCAGAGAGAAAGCAGAGTGAAGCTGGGCTAACGGGCAACTGTATGGGATAGGGGGCCGCTGGGTATGTAGGGGTTCCTACAGACTTCCAAGATGGGGAGCTGAAGTGAGTGTGGCCCGTGGGGACCCTGTTTTGGTCCTGGCCTGGAGGTAGGGTTTCTTTCTGGATCTAGCCTTGAGGGGTGTGACTATATCTTGCCTGGGGTGGGAGGAGCCCCAGCACCCACCGTGTAGGAGGAAACGTCTATGCTCTCCACATACTGCTTCACGCTACCCAGGTTCTCATCCTCCTTGCCCAGGTGGTCATACAAGAAGTGGATCAGGTCCTCGTCGCACTCGTAGGTCCATGTCGGGGGTACATAGCTAAGCAACCCCAAGCCCCTAATTAGACTGGGCCCAGACGCAGAGCTCCTTCCTCCCCACCCCATTCCAGCTCACTCACAGTAGCCTTTGTACAGCTTCTGCGTATGCCTCTGCCGGCTGAGGTCTCGATCCCAGGCGATGTGAGTATGTCAGGTCCACCACCTGTTCCCACCTGTGGGCACAGAGTAGGGAGTGGGAAAGGGAGACATCAGCGAGCAGCAGGACACTACCTCCATGCCGTGTAGCCTTCTCCTGGGCTCTATCTCCCCGTCTCCAGACGCCCCACCGGAGCCCCCTTCATGTCCCACCCCTTCCTGTTCTTAACCCTGCCGCCGCTCCAGTATCCCACCCACCCCAGGGTGTGGCTGAAGTGTTCCCAATCCCTCCTGGCCTGGCCTTCGGACAGCAAGCCCCGCTCCTTCAAGTGCAGGACCTGAGCACCGGCCGATAATCCACGCCAAAGAGCTGCTGCTGCCGCTGGAGGTGGTTGGGAGTGTCGATGGGTACCAGGCGGGCTCCGCCCTCCGCCAGGCGGCACACCAGCAGCCAGCCTTCCTGCAGCCCGCAGTCGCCCAGGTGCTCTGCCAGCTGCTCCTGCCGGGACGCGCCGGATGGGGACAGCCGTCAGGGAACTGCCCAGCCGCCTGTCCTACCCAGCCCAGGGCAAAGAGCACCGAACGCAATGCCAACTCAATACAGGGGAGGAAAGGGAAACAGGCAGAGGTTTCTCTGGCTCCGGGGGTCTTTTACCTGGTCCTGGGCGGGGAAGGGCTCACCTTTGTCAGCTTCACCCAGAGCCCGTGGCCGTTGCACAGCTCCTCGCCCGTGGTGCGCACGCAGGCGCCGCGCCGGAGCTCGATGCTGTCGCGGGCGGCGCGGAGGGGCCCGGAGCCGGTACCGGGGGCTGGGCCTGCGGCGCCCACACGCAACCCCAGGCCCTCTGCCTCCCACACGGGCAGGAGCACGCGCGACGGTCCCGCCGGGTCCTTGTAAAGCTTGTAGAGCACCTCTCGCGGCACGAAAGCCAGCGCTGCCGGCAGCGGCCGCCCAGCGCGGAGGCTCCGCGCTGCCTCCGCCAAGAAGCGCACGCGGCCCAGCAGCTGCCGCGGGGACTCCAGCACCGCGCCCGGGCCAGGACCCGCCATGGCTAAGTGGCGGAGGTGAGCGCCTAAGGGCGACCCTACCCGGTGAACAGCTGGCGCGACCGCGGACTGAGCTTCCCACCACGCCCTGCCCCGCCTTTGGCCAGCCTTCGCCGTATGTTCTGGACTAAGCGCACCCAGCACTCACCGTATTGCACTGTGTACTCCTACACTCAATCATATTACCTACCTCTGTGCCACCCTAACCCAGCCGACCAAACCCAAGATTGGTGATTTCTACCTGATCAATCTCCTTCTCTCCATTTCCTTGCTACTACCATTTTATCTCTACTGCTACTACCCTCATTCAAGTAACCATTCTATGTGGGCTGCATCATTGCCAACATTTTTCTGGTTCTTGGGCCTGCTCTTTTTCCTCCCACTCCCAACGAATCTGCTGGACTCCCTATCCTATAGGTGGTGTGACTAAAATGTTTGAGACAATGGCTCCTTCCCCTGCCACTGACAGGAGTCTTGAGTCATTCGGGTTCTGTTTGTCACTCCTAATCCCAAGGACACTGGTGATCGTTGTTCATTTTAATGTGATTCCTGATTTCTGTTTTCCCAGTCTTATAGCTTCTTAAAGACCGGGGCTGTCTTGAGCAGAGCTAACCTCTACACCTACTGTAGGTCCAGGCTCTTAGTAGGTAATATAAGTATATGACGATTTCAGTTTCCTGTACAGCCTGGTTCCATCATCCTCAGTATGCCTGGCTGAATAAGACTATTAGAATCATGAATGGGACTTGAGCCAAGCCTCCGGATACCCAGACCGTCAGATGAGAACAAATTCCTCATGTCACCGTAAGACAGTTAACAGCGGAGTTCTCTTTTGAGCGTTTGTTGTTGCGTCGCTACAGCGGACTTTACGGTGAAAAAAGGTAGGGGTCCTACGGGCAGCAGCCAGGGCAGCCCTGGAGCTGTCGCGGGAGTCTGATCATGTGATCTTCAACATGGCGACGCCCGTGGTTCCCTACAGAAAGGGGCGGAGCCTGGACGGGGGTGGGGACAGGCTCACATTCAGGTTAAGTTGCGGATTGAGCTCGCAGTTACAGACAGCTGACCATGGAAGAGAACGGGTTGGGGTGAGTTCTCCAGAGCACGCGGTGTGGCTAGTTGAGCTTCTGAGTCTTCCAACTCAGGACTCTCTATCCCTGTACTCCCCTTTCCCCACCTTGGAGATCTCCAACCTGGACTCTGTTAGCTGGGATCCTGAATCCTAAAACCATGGATTTTTGAGACGTTCATCCCAGGGGCCTTAATTCAAGGGATGCCTCAGGATTTCCAACCAGGATCTCTATTCTGGGACCATCAACTCTCATCCCTCTTTATCCCCCAGCCTGGGGATCTCTCAGCCTCTGAACCAGCCCAGTGACATTCCCGTTTCTGAGACTCCCTAGTCCGAAGACCCCCAAACTATCCTTCCTGGGCTTTCATTCCCTCCCCCTAGTCCCTCTAGTTGCTTCGAGCTTGGGAGAGTAGGGACTAAGTGGAGGGAAGAGGCCCCAGGGCAGGCCCTTCTAGAGTTTGTGCACCACCTGATAGGCAGAGAGGAGGCGGAACGGGCGGAAAGCCAGGGTTTGGGAGCTAGCCTGGAGGAGGTAGATAGCGGTCCTTGACTAAATCAGCCTTATGAACCCGCACTTTACCCAACCTCCAGCCTAGCATACTGACACCTACCCCTACCCCCACCTGATCGCCAGACCTCAGGGTTTTCCGGAGCTGAAGAATGACACATTCCTGCGAGCAGCCTGGGGAGAGGAAACAGACTACACTCCCGTTTGGTGCATGCGCCAGGCAGGCCGTTACTTACCAGGTAAGAGTCAGGGCCTGGAAATCTAGATAAAACTCCGGAAAGCGAAAAGTTTTCAAGGGGCAGGGGAGGGCTCTGGAGGGCCTCAAGGCTGAGCCCTGTCTTCCCTCTGTATGCAGAGTTTAGGGAAACCCGGGCTGCCCAGGACTTTTTCAGCACGTGTCGCTCTCCTGAGGCCTGCTGTGAACTGACTCTGCAGGTGAGGGGTGCACAAAAGAGGGAAAGATTTATGCCTTCAGTCTGCTACCTAGCAACCCGTCTCCTGTTTCCTACAGCCACTGCGTCGCTTCCCTCTGGATGCTGCCATCATTTTCTCCGACATCCTTGTTGTACCCCAGGTACCCACTCAAATCTGATCCTGGAATATAATCCAAGGACCCCTTGAAAATCCTTCTATCAGTCCAGTCAAGGTTTACAATAAGCACTTATCCTACCTGGATCGAGGGAAAAACTAAGGTTGAAAGAGATAGAGTTTGGCAGTTTTATTCTCCTTTTCCTTCTGGAATGAGCTGAACAGAATCTTTCCTCCTAGATTCCATTTTGGGAACCCAGATGTTTTCTCCCCCTCCAGGCACTGGGCATGGAGGTGACCATGGTACCTGGCAAAGGACCCAGCTTCCCAGAGCCACTAAGAGAAGAGCAGGACCTAGAACGCCTACGGGATCCAGCAGTGGTAGCCTCTGAGCTAGGCTATGTGTTCCAAGCCATCACCCTTACCCGACAACGACTGGCTGGACGTGTGCCGCTGATTGGCTTTGCTGGTGCCCCAGTAATGTGGGACAGGGCAGGGACTGGCGGCGTGGGAAAATCACTCTGGCAGGTCTGGGGTAGACAAAGGAAGGGTCAGTCTGGCTTCTGTACGTGTGACACCATCTTTCTATCCTTCTGTAGTGGACCCTGATGACATACATGGTTGAGGGTGGTGGCTCAAGCACCATGGCTCAGGCCAAGCGCTGGCTCTATCAGAGACCTCAGGCTAGTCACCAGCTGCTTCGCATCCTCACTGATGCTCTGGTCCCATATCTGGTAGGACAAGTGGCGGCTGGTGCCCAGGTGAGTCCTGAGAGAGAGAGAAATAGGCTGAGATTTGGTCTGTAAGGACGAGAAGCAAGTGTCCTAAACCAGAGAGGGCAGGGGTCTTAATGCCAGGGATGAAAGAACCTTGGCCTCCAGTGATCTAGCTGAGCAGCCAAGCCCATCCTGACACTGGCAGTGGGGCTTAATGCTCTGAGTATTCAGAGACCAAAGCTAGTGCTGGGATCTGGAGAAAGTACAACCTTTTTTTTTTTATTACTGGATTTATAGGGTCAGGCAGTATCAGGGATTAAAGTCATTTGGGGAAAACTGAGGTGGATTTTGTATGTGGGGGGAGCTTCCTCTGTTACATATTTGTCTTCACCGTACCCTAACTAGGCATTGCAGCTGTTTGAGTCCCATGCAGGGCATCTTGGCCCACAGCTCTTCAACAAGTTTGCACTGCCCTACATCCGTGATGTGGCCAAGCGAGTGAAGGCCAGGTTGCGGGAGGCAGGCCTGGCGCCAGTGCCCATGGTGAGGATTGGGATGGGTTGAGTGAAGGTGGGCCTGTGGAGCTTTCAGGCTAAGTCCTGCATGGACTGGAGTGACCACTGGAGGGCAGCAGAAGTACAGTCAAGAAAGATTAGTGGTTGTAGCAAGGCCCTCTGTAGCCTAAGATCTGCTTTTTTTCCAGATCATCTTTGCTAAGGATGGGCATTTTGCCCTGGAGGAGCTGTCCCAAGCTGGCTATGAGGTGGTTGGGCTTGACTGGACAGTGGCCCCAAAGAAAGCCCGGTAAGCTATGGAAGGGTGAGGCCTTGAGATTGAGGTGGGGGTGTGGAGCTGCCATGTATGCAGTTACCAGAACGTGGCGCTGGCTTTGCTTCCAGGGAGTGTGTGGGGAAGACGGTGACATTGCAGGGCAACCTGGACCCCTGTGCCCTGTATGCATCTGAGGTAACAGACAGGACCCCTCTGTGTATCTGTTACTGTGCACTCCTGTGGCTGTGGTTGTATTATTCTGTGTGCTTTTCTTTTTTAAATGTCTGTCTGTCCTTCTCTTCTACTCTGTATGTACAACATAAGCCCTAGGAAGACCGGACTTTTTGTTGCTGTTGTTCATTTGTATTTATGCTTCATGTCCAGACTAGGGATCTGATAAATTTTATTGAATGACTGAATGAGTTAACACTGAGTAGAAGCATACCTACATATGTGTTTGTCACTAGTATATGTAGGGAGGACAGAAGCTTGCTGGTCCTCCTGTAGCCAGTGCCCTGTTGGTCCCCCAGGAGGAGATTGGGCAGCTGGTGAAGCAGATGCTGGATGACTTTGGGCCACAGCGCTACATTGCCAACCTGGGCCATGGGCTTTATCCTGACATGGACCCAGAACATGTGGGTGCCTTTGTGGATGCTGTGCATAAACACTCACGTCTGCTTCGACAGAACTGAGTGTACACCTTTACCCTCAAGTACCACTAACAGATGATTGATCGTTTCCAGGACAATAAAAGTTTCAGAGTTGAACTGTTGTGTAGTTTTGTTTGTGAAAGATGTGTGCCCATATCCTCAGTTCTTCTTAGCTTCTGCTCCTTCCCTGGGAACCCTCTCTATGTCCTCTTCACAAGTCATAGGGGTTAGGTATCACTGAATATGTACCAGAGCACTTAAGGATTCTCACTCCCATCTTACTCTTAGATACCTAAGTCTCAGAACTACATGGGGTAGGGTAGAGCTTTCCTAGCAGTTCAGGTTGTGACATTTGCAGAAAAATGGGTGGGGTCTTCACAGTATACAAAGGCTAAATTGATAGGGCTTTACATCTGGGGAGGAAGGGAAGTATAATACATCAAAAAGGGGCACAGAAGGGGTTAGAATACTTCAGAGAGGCATGGGGAAGAAGATGGAGTCTAGGTGAGCAAGGAGAAGCTGAGGGACCCTCAGCTTTGACACCAAAATATAGGGAGGACATCAAAGCTCAGAGCTAGGTTGCTTAGGATTGGAGCTTTAGACAAGTCCATCATCAAGGCAAGAAGTCCTCTGAAACCAAAAGACCCTCTGGCACTCAAGGTTGCTTTATATTATTTTCTGAGCATCCCCTTTAATTTTCTCAAGATCTTGGTGTTTCCACCCTTCTGGTGGTACCTGCTTCCCAGGACAAGGCTCTGAGGTGTCTGTAAGCTCTGGAGAAGGGTCTGGTATGGCAAGAAATTCTTTATCTGTTATTCTGCATCTCCTTGGACCACTAGGAGCCCACTGTGCTGTAGGCTGAACCAGCTTCCCGGCCCAGCCAGGGCAATGCAGAAGGTAGAGATGGGTTTCATGAAGGAACACAATTTCTACTTTTAGAAAAATGATCGTTTATGTGATCCATGATTTATTCATAGAAAAGCACTGTGAGTTCACACACTTGCTAAAAAAGGGCAACTGTGATACAGAATGAGAGTGGCTTCTCTCTTTTTTTTAACCAACCCATTGGGCTGAGACGTAGGGGCCCTTGGCTGGACAGTAAGACTTGAGTAGCCACAAACGGCAAATACAACTTCTTCGTCAGTTTGGAGTAAAAAAGGTGACAGTTTGTCAAAGAAAAAGTAAAGCAGATGGAGAAGTTCTTAGTTCACATTCTAGCTATACCACCCCTTCCCTATCACACCCCACCCCTAACTCAGGAACTAAGACATGAAACAGTAAACACCAAGACACTGGTATCCAACTGACTCTTCTGAATGCCTTTGCTACCTCCTGTAACAATTCCAGGCCGAGCATAGAGGTCAGGAAGGTAGCAGGAACATGATACACTGTGGAGGTCAGCCAGGGCTAAGACAGGGCTGCCCACTAGGGCTAGAAATTAGGAAGGGAGAGGCTAAGAGCAGACCAGCCCTAGCCTCCAAGTCAGCGAGCAATGAGACTGTGACAAAAG